GCGGTTCCTCATATTCCCTTCAAGGTTTTTGAATGTTTACATTTTCTCGTAGTAGAAACTTATGGTGGCACACACCTATAAACCCATTCGCTGGGAACCTGGGGTGAGAAGACTACACGTGGGGGAGGGGGCACATAGTCAGTCTCTTGAAACAAAACCCAGAAAACTTAACGCTTTGCAAAACAAACAATATCTACCCAGGAGCTTTAAATGGCCACAGTTAGCCACCACTGCAGCCACATCTTCCAGAAGCAGTGGCTGCCTGTGGCTGCTGCCATGGTGCTGCAGGGGTGCATCCACGACTCTCATTTCCCTTCCCTCCCTCTCCCCTCCTGCAGTGTTGTATGTTTGTGGGGGGCAGTGAGAGGTGCATTTGACTGTGTATGGGGACACATGGAAGCCAGAGGTCAGTGTCTGAATACCCTCTTCTATTCTCTCCATCTTACTTGGGGACAGAGTGTCTCACTGAACATGGAGCTCACCAACTGGGATCCACCTGTCTCTACCTCTAGCTCTAGGATTACAGCCATTCACCACAGTGCTCAGCTTTTTATGTGGGTGCTGAGATTTGAACCCCCCAGGTCCTCATGCTTACACAGCAATCATTCTTCCCTCTTTGAGCCATCTCCCTAGCCCCTGCATTTGTACAGTCCTTACAAGATGGCATGGGTTCTCTCCATCCTTCCTGATGTCTGTCCTTCTCTTTCTTTTCCATCCTCAACTGTCCAGAGGGAAGCGGGCCATATGCCAAGAACTCCAAATGAGCATTCTGACATGGTGGAGGTCTCCAATGGAAAACACAAGTTTCCTGGACACCAGGATGAGGTGCCAGAGGAACACCACCACCCTCATGTCCTTGACCAGGTGCTTCCCAGGCAACATAAGAACAAACCCATGTCTGCATCCTGCAGCTCCTAACAGACACTAAGAGGCTATGGCTGGCAGGCGAACTTCACCTGGAATGTGCCTCACCTCAGAGCAGCCTTTTTGCTACTAAGCTTGGGGCACTGGCCCCTGTGGAGGATCTTAGCACCATAAGGCAAGAGCTAATGAGCCTTTGCCAGACTGGGTTCCAAATGATTAAGTACAAAAGCAGCACGTGATGCCTCCCGAGGGACCTGGGGCAGCCCGGGTGCCACAGGAAGGTTATACAAGTGGGGAAAACAAGCCACAGAACGCAAAAAGACTCACACTGCTCCCCGCTGTTCTCTTGGGTTAACCCTGAGCTTCCCATCTTTGTAAAATATTTCAAAACTCAAGGCCAGTGTTTCTCCTGGATCTCATATTCACTGAAAGAGGGTGCTAAAGAAGACGTCTGGGGCCCACTCCAGGCATACTGACTCTCAGTCTCCAAAGCAAGGATTGAAATTTTGCACCTTGGGAAGCTCCCCAGATTCTGATGCTGGGCCTAAAAGCATATGACTCGGGTACAAGCGAGTTCAACCCAGTATTACTATGGGCGACTGCACAATTGTCTCCTAATTGTGTGACTCTGAGCACAGCCACTTTACCTGTGCCATGACTTTCTCCTATGTAAACAGGGAATTAAAGTAGCAGCTGTCTCATAAGCTTGCTGGGAGAACTGAGTTTTCACACACACACACACACACACACACACACACACACACACACACACACACCCCTCACAATCCCTGGCACCTAGCCCTGGGCTCAGCAGGTGTTCATTCTTTTCCCTTCACAGAATCACCCAGAGCTTTGCCAGCCCAATGGTACTTGGCTCCCACTCCACATTCTAATTTAAAGTCAAAGTGCCCCCCCCAACAAGGACTTTAAGCAGTACAGGTGGTCTCAAACAGCAGCAAGCTTGAAAAGCATGCCTAAGAAGCTGCCAGTAACATAATCAAGTCCTCTGCCTTTCCAAAGTCAGGCATTCACTGCATTCTAGAAGCCCAACTGTTTCTAGGAAGAGTGAGTAAAGTGATGCTATGCCAGACCTGGGTAGTCCTGGATGTTGCCCCTAAACAGACCTTGCCTAGAACTTGCAGAAAAACTGGAGTCAATGCCTCCAAAAGATCTGCCCAAGATGTGGCATTAGGACAGGTTCAACCAGAGAACCCAATCTAAGGAAACTTGAAGCTGAGGCATAGATGTCTCCCACAGATCTGCAAACAGTAGCTCTCTTGTCACCAAATCCCAAAAAGGGAGACTTGAGAACCTAGAAGAAAAGGCATGGTGGAGATTTCAGCCCCAGTTTAGGTGTCAGCAAGGCAACATACCTGTGTCTGGGCACTAGCTCCCTACATAGCAACACACTTGTCACAGATATGCATCCATGTTTCACCCTCACCCTAACAATGACATGGAGACTTCTGTGGATGAGGCTCTCCTTAAGAGAACCCACCTGGAAGCTGGAGTTAGTTGACAGGGCACCTTGGGGTAGCAGGAGATAGACTGAGCCAGTGCCTTACTCTTTTGGAACTGGTTTCTTGGACCCCCTGGAAGGTTACTTTTATGCCCCAGGACCACACCATCTACCTAGACCTCCCCACTAACCCAAACTTATCAGACCTTCCCCACCTTCCCCTCCAAATCTCTTCTCTCTGAGAAAAGAAGAACTCATTGGATACTCTTCCACATATAAATAGAAAAATAATTACTAGTGAGGTGATGTTCCTTCGCCTATTTTTGGTGGGTCTCTTTGTTCAGATTTTTTAGGCAAGTACATGGATCAAATGCACGAACAATCACGCATACACACACACACACACACACACACACAGGCACACACGCACATGCACATGCACACAAGCGCGCGCACATGCCCGCACACACAAGGACCCCAGTGCGGGGTGGGGGTAGGAGTAGATTGGAGGGTGATGAGAACACAGTGACTTCAATGCCCAGACTCAAAGTCGGCTTTCGCTCCAGCCATCCAGCTGTCAGTTGTCAGCGGGCCCTTGTGGTAGTTCGTTCTCCTTTGGTGTCTTTGCCCAGACCTCATACTAACCCCTCATCTTTCCCCTGGGGCTGGGCTCAAGTCTGAATCCTTCTCCTCCGAAGTTATTGAGTTCTGGGAATCAATTTAGACACTCGGGAAAGGGGTTAAACAAAAAGGCAAAAAGCTCTCCATTAATCCCCAAATGCTTTCTCCCATCTGCTGAGACTTTGCCCGTGTTGGGACTTGCATAATAAAGGGAAAGGCAAAGTTGACGAATCAAGGTGCTTGGAAGGTGGAGGAGGGTGGCCTCGGAGGCAGCTCCAACCCAGGCAAGGGCGCGCAGCGTTGTGATGGCCGCTGCATAAAGATAGATGGTGAAGGAGAAAATGACCAAGGGGAGAGATTATGTTCCAATCAGGGGCCATCAAAGCCCTGAGAAAGCAAAGCGGCCGGCTCCAAGGAGGCTTTTGTGCTCACTCCCTCCACGCACTCGCCCTCTCCTTTGCTTCATTTTCGCTAGGGTACGAGTTACAGGAGGCACTCACTCCTTTCCCCCTTCCTCCCCCACACACGCACACGAGGGATCACACCCTCCCCCTCCCTTGTCAAGTTTGCCTGCCTCTGTTTACCTAGAGAGGAGCATTTAGAATCAATGGATCATCTCCCCCCCAAACCCAAGAGTTTGGAGACCCGGTTGTGTTTAAAGTCCCACCACCATCTCTGGTGAGGGGGAAAAGCAAGTGGGTGAGGGGGGAAGAGACCCTCCCCTTTTACACTTGGCGTTCACCCCCCACCTGTGTTAAGCTCAATGCCTCTGTTCCATACTGCAAGCGAAAGTTGTTGTCCTGGTGACATTCCCCAATCGGGAATCTTGGGGTGGGGAGAACTATGGCTAGGGATGCTGGGCTGGGAGGGAAAGGAAAGTGGACCCATAGAGGAGGGCGAAGGGGGGGGGCAGCCCACCTGGACATGTGTTCCCTTTGGGGCCGGTGTGCTTTCTCCAGCCCCAGCTTGGTGAAGATGCCCACCAGCACCATGACAGCCACCACCCCGCAGATGATGTAGACGATCAGATTGGTCTTGTCCTTGGTGGGGTCGTGCAGAGGGTCATCCTTACGCGCTGGGGGCTTGCCGGTGTTGAGCCAGAGCGGCGTGTCGTAGTTGGTACAGGTGCTCTGGTTCAGTCGCCGCTTCTTAAACGTGCAGCAGAACCGGAAGCCACAAGTCCCGCAGCAAAAGATGAAGTCGCCCGAGCTGCAGTTGAACGGTGGGTCCCACTGGCCCATGACATCGAAGTATCCCCGACAGGAGTCCGGCGTGGGCGCCCGAGTCGGCGGTGCGTCGGATCCCCCGACGCCCTCACCGGCCTCTCCCGAGGCGGCCCCGGAGCGGTTGCCCCCTGTGAGCAGCAGCACGCCGCCCAGTTGCGCCAGCTGCCCGTGCCCAGCTCTCTCCTGCGCCCGGCACACGCGGGCGCACAGCTCGGTGAGGAAGCAGCCAAGGAGCAGCCGGAGGACTCGGCGCATCGTGTCTCCCAGACTGGGCAGGAGCGCTCGGCCGCCGCTGGAGTCGCTGCCGCCGCCTCTGGACGCGCGGCCGAAGCTGCCGAGGCTGCTGGCGGGGGGCTGCGGGCCGCCGCTGGCCGCACATGCAGGGAGGCGGCGCGGGGCGCTCGGTGGTCGGCGGCCACTGCGCTCGGCTCAGCCTGCGTTCGCCTCCAGCGCGACGCGCGCTGAGGAAGGGGGCTGGCCGGGGAGGAGCGCGCCGGGGCCGGGCGGGGACGAAGCTAGAGCGCAGGCCAGCGCGGGGTGCAGGTCCTGCGGGCCACCGGGGGAGGTGGGGGCGGAGAACCGGGGAGAGTCCAGTCGGTGTGTCCGTAACTCCGCCTGCCGCCCGGGACTCGGCTCCCACGTTCGCTCGCTCGCAGGATGCTCTTCACCTCTCCAGCTCGCCAAGTGCGCTGGAGAGAGCGAAGCGACACTTGTGGAATGAAGGGAGGGCCGGAGGGAAGGGGGAAGGGCGGGTAGAGCAGGCGCGCGGGGGGAGGGGGCGGGCGCGATCTCGAAAGGGGCGGGGGCGCGGAAAGAGGTGGCTCGGGCGGGCGGGGGCGAGAGGGGGGCGTGCAGAGAGTGCTCTGGTAGGAGCAATGAGCTCCGCAGCCTCTAGGTTCGGGAGAGCAGCTCGGATTTCCCAGAAGATGGAGAGAACCGCGGCCGGGACCTCTGTCACCCTCTCGGGAGAAAGGTGCGGCTCACTCCCCAAGCAAGGGCTCAGAGGTGGCTCTGCCCTCGGCTTCTCCTCCCCCCCCCCCCCCCCCGAGGTGCGTGCGCAGGAGCTGCGGTTGCAATCTGTCGATCAGGGAAGGGGTGACTCGGGGAGAATTGGGACAGACTAGGTGGCTTGCACACTCTGACACACTGGATGCAGTATAGACAGAATTGTCCTCCCACTCCCGGGCGAGCGTTACTGCCTTGGGATGCACCCTCCCGCCTGGCGCGAACCCGGGATGGTTTGAGTCCTTGGACAGAGAAGAAAGAGGCTGAACTGGGAAGGTGGGTCAAGTGCCCAGCCCCTGGGCTGTGGTTAGCACCCCAGAAGAGGGGCATAGGAACTCATTAAAGAAGCCCCAGGGTCTGAGGAGGTGGCCAGTGGATAAAGCCAAGGCAAATGGCTCGTGCTGGAAGGTGTCTCCCAGGAACTCGCCTAGCCCCTAAGACCTGCAGCTTTCTGTCCCTCTTCGCCTCCGCAGCGTTCTCTGAGCTCCACAGGAGGGCACACGGCGGCGCCTCCTCTGCGCTGGCAGTTTTGGCGCAGCGCAAGGCCTGAGCATGCATCCTCAGTCACCCTGTCTTTCCTGCAGCCTGTGAGACTGTCTCCACAGCAGGCTCTCCCTGTCCCCTCAGAGGCCCCTTCCCCGACATCCTCACAGAGCTTGCTTCCTTGCCTCCCAACATCTCTTCTCAGCCTTTCCAAATCCTCTCTCTCTCTCTCTCTCTCTCTGTCTCTCTCTGTCTCTCTCTCTGTCTCTCTCTCTCTGTCTCTCTCTCTCTCTCTCTCTCTCTCTCTCTCTCTCTCTCTCTCTCCCTCCCTCCCTCCCTCCCTCCCTCTCTCCCTCCCTCCCTCCTAGTGGATTCCTCTGAACCAGCCATAGGCCCCTCTCCCATTTCTCCCACTTCTTCCTGTCCTGTTTGAATTTGACTCCAGTAGTCCCTAAAACAGGATTCGCATCAAAGCTGCTAAGCTAAATTTATATCCGATACACCCTGACGTTTTGGTTTTTTAATTGTGCTAACTAAGTATGCTCTTTGCAGTGGGCTGGATGATTCCCTGGGAAATAATGCTCTCAGTGCCCTCTTCTCTATTTGGCTTCAGCTGCAGGACTCTTTGGGGCCATTTTCAAAGTACCAAGAAGTTGGGCCACCTGTAAAAATGTTATGTTGGGATCCCCTTAATTGGAAAATTGTGGGAGGGTTTATAGGGACTGTGGGGCAAGTTTTCTCCAAATCAAAGAGTTTGGCTAAGCTCCCCCTTCCTTTGATTTGAGTAAAAGGCACCTTTTGCTGTTTGGAATAAGATTTACAAATGCAACCCAGGGCCACCTTGGTAGACTACACCAGGCCTTAGAGCCAAGACTGACTGCTGTAGAATGTACTCCATCCCACCCACCCCAATTCATCAGCTTCCTCACAACAAGAGGACAGACTGGGTGGGAGGTACCCACACCTGCTGCCCCCTTGTCCCATCTCGTAAACACTGGCATTGGTGTGGGAGCTGAGAGCAATGGACATTTATCTGTGGCTTGCAGCATAGCCCCTCAGCTTCCTTTTATTAAAAATCAGTAATTAACTGAGTACCAGACAACCTGGGGGCTTGTGGAGGAACCGCTGGGCTCAGTGGCCCCATTAACTTTCTGCCTCTTGGTTAATATTATCTTCCCAACAGCAGCATAGAGAAACTGTCTTAGCCACAAAGCAATGAAAGAAGCCACCCAGGGTAGTTAGTGGAGTGAATACTAGAATTGACATTTGTTTCAAGAAATCTGCTTCCAAAGCCTGTGGCCTTCTTGTGCCTTCTTCACAGACACTCAATTCAACTTCTATTATATATTTCTTAATGTCTCCAAGCACTGCCATGTAAATAACATGACTGGAAGGACTGTGGTTGTCTGTGTTCCCCAGCACATAGACAAAAGTTAGCTATGAGCTATGCTAGCTAATTGTTTAGTTATTTGAGATTTTTAACAAGTTGTGAATCAGGAGAGTGCTTACCATAAAAGCATGAGGACCTGAGTTCAATCCCCAGAGCCTACATGAGAAGGCAGAGCATGATGGACACACTTGCAGTCCCAGTGATGGAGAAGTGAGACAGGCAGATTGACCTGACCTACCTGTGGATCTCCAAACAATGAGAAAAGTAGTACTTCTCTTAAACACCAAGATGGAGGGGCTGGGGAAATGGTTGAGCAGTTAAGAACCCCTACTCTCGCAGAGGATTCAGGTATGGGTCTCCGGACCCACATCAGGTGACTTACATAACCTACAATTCCAGTACTGGAGTATGTGAAACTCTGCCTCCACAGAAACCTGCATGCCCTTGGTAAACACAAATTCACACACACAGACAAACATATATGCACATGAAAGATAAATCTTTTAAAAATTACCTCTTAAGGAATGACACTTAAGGGTGTCATTTGGCCTCAACATGCACTGGTACACATGCATACCAGCACCCACAGGAGCACACGCATGCACATACACACACACTATTGTAAGATTTGGGGACTTTAAGACTCTTTGAAACATGGTTTTTAAATACCTTAGGCAAACTCTGGATGGGAAAGTCCACTTCGAGACCTGCCTATGGTCTCAGAATGAGCCCCTGTATTCAAGACTTTGACTCATGGCTGCTGCTCCAGCTTTAATTAACAGAGACTGCCCCCTGTTTGCAACAAGGAAACTGCAGGAGCTGTGCTTCAGAAGGAAGCAGCCTGAGATCCACCCTGCCCACCCTCTCCTGGAAGAACCCTAAGCCTCCTCCAGTTCTCCAGGAGCTTTCCCCTGACTCGGTTCCCTCCCTAACTTCAGTGACTGTGCCTGTGCTTGTGCCTGCTGGGATTGCCTCAGTCTGTGTGCCAAGCCTTTGAAAAATATTTAGGAGAATCATCTTTATTCTCTTCACTCTTCAAAGGAAGGGAAAAATGTTCATTTTCTCTGGACACATCAAATTAGCAAGTATAGCTACTACCTCCTGGTAGGGGTATAATTGTTGGGCACACATGACTAAAAGGGCATTTCTTTTAAGGCTTCTATGTGTGTGTGGGGGGTTTATAAAATCGCTCACTGACCCGGCAAGTTCATGGACAAGGAAAAATCACATCATATCTCTCCACAAAACCACTTACAAAAATGAATCCATGTGAACATGTCACAAGGAAATGCACAGCCCTTTATGAAATTGTCTTTTCTAAGAAAGAGATGAAGATGCTATGGTTTTGCAACGGGCCTTTTTAATATTGAAAGAGAATCTCTTTTGCTCTGGCCTCAATTTTTTCAGGCTATAGTACCCACTGCAACAAGCACGCAATTGTACCCACTAACAATCAAAGAGGGGGAGCTAGCAGAAGAAAGGATGTAGGCTGCCTGGCACTACCTTGAAACCAGTGTTTAAAAGCCATGCAACAAATTAAATTATCTGCACTGTGGCCCCTGCCTGAATGAGTTGTTTGTTAATCTTCCCCATCAGGTGGCTTTTAAGGTTTCAAAGAGGTTTCCAAGCAACTGTTAGCCTTGAGGGGAAAGAAGGGAGAGATGGCACAGAGGCAAATTGTAGCAAGCCTCTCATGCTTCCAGAAACACATATTTGATGGATTTTATTCTCCGTGTCTGGAGAGGTAAAGAAGCCTCACAGAAGAAGCAGGTCAACACTATGGTTTCCCCACCACAGATATTTCACTTGTCAGTAGTGTCTTGCTTGTTTGAATATGTGTGAGAAAAGAAAGCACATCCTCCAAATGAATTCATAGGCAGAGGTGCAGTTGATTCTTCCAAACTCACTAATGTAATGTCAATTTAAGAAAAATACACACACCATAGTATTTACAACAAAGAAAAGAAAATGGAATTTCTGGTGTGAAACCCAGAGCTGGGATGTGGGACTTTGGTTTCAGACTGTTTTTCCTGGTCTTGGCACCATTGTCATTTGGAAGTGGGTACACCTGTATCATGGGGACATCCTATGCACTGTGGGACATTTGACTGTATTGTTAACCCCTACCCACCAGTTGCCAGTATCACCATGCCCTTACGACGTTGTAACAACTAAACGTTTGATGGGCATTTCCAAATGTCTGCTAGAGGGCAAAATGAAAACCAATTAAAAACCATGATCATGATATTATGTTTACATTCAAGTCCCAGCTCTTTCTGGCTGGAGGTCTTTTGAAACTTGAAATGATTTTGTGTGGGGGTCAGTGAGACAAGGTTTCATTATGTAGCTCAGGTTGGCTTTAAACTCCTGTTTTCAAGTAAGTTGCTTAATCTTTCCAAGATTTGGTTTTCTCTTCTACCAAATAAGGGTAATAATGATGCCTAAGCCAGGTGTAGCAAGCTCATGGGCTGTAGTGTAAGCACTCAGAAGGCTGAAGCAGGATCATGAGTTCAGGGCTAGACTGGACTATATAGCAAGACCGTGTTTCAACAACAAAAAAAGAGCAAACGAAGAATGATCTCTTTCTCCAAGAATGCCAAGACCCTAGACACTTTGTATTGTGATAGGCAATGTGATTGGAGACTCTGAAGTACTTCAAGAGCGCTCTTTAAAATGTAAGGGTGCAAGATGTCAAGGCTATATAGAACTCAGGAGGTGGAGCCTGGACCGTCCCCTCCAGCATTATGCAGTCTCTAGAGAAGGTATACAGTACAGAGACTGAGGTGGGACCTCCGTATGCAAAGGAACCCTACATTTAGAGTGAGTCCTGCAGATGCCTTTGAAGTTTGACGTGATGGTGTGAGACAGGGATTCTCTGTGTAATTCAGGCCAGCTTTAAGCTTACCTTCCTCCTGCCTCAGCCTTCCAAGGGCTGCCATTGCATGTGTAAACCAAGCCCAGCCTCAGAGCAATTTTTGAGCAAAAGGCCCAGCACTTTCATTTTACAGAAATGGGGGCCGAATTTATAGACGAGTGGAAAAGAGCATGTGAGGAGGAGGATTAGCAAAGACCAGAATAGGAACAAATATCAACAT